AGCCCCTCCAACTGCCTGAGCCCCACCGCCTCCCATGTGCCATCCTCAACCCCACCCCACCTGCCCCCTCAGCCCCACCCACCTACCCACAGCCCCACCCATTTGCCCCTAACTTTGAGTGCTTTAACCACGAATTACACAGAACATTTCTGCAGGGAAACAAGTCATTCAGCCCAGCCAGTCAGTGCCAGTGTTTAACACTCCACCCGAGCCTCCACCCCTCCTCGTGCCCTCCCTTCCCTTTCCTCGTCGTGTAACCTTGTGTGCATGACACGGGGAGCGATTACCTTCTTTTTAGTGGATCCTTAACATCCACCTGATCTGTGCCCAACCAGACAGGGTCTCAGTTGGAGTCCCATCCAAAGGAGAGCATCGGGAACCACTGGAGTCAGTGACCGGAGCTCAGCTCCCCATCTGGGGCTTGAAACCACAACCTGCTGATCCTTTGGCAAAGAGTCTGCCAACTGAGCTGATCGGGCACACGCCCCAGAGACATTATTATGATGTAACAATGAACCCAAGTGACACATAGAAACACCAACAATTCTGGCTAATTGAACCTGGGATTTTTTTAATCCCCAGTTAATAAATCCCACGCACATCCTTACCGTAAGGATGTTTACCTTAAGGATGTTTGTGGGATTGATTAACTGTGGGGATAAAAAAAATGTAATACACGAGTAACACACATGGTTTAAGTCACACAGATACAACAATAATAATAATCCTTGCATTTGTTACAGCGCCTAATCATGTTTTTGAGACACAAACCGCTTCACAGGATATACCGTAAAGTGAATTGACTGTATATTTTGTGGGCGAAACGCGGCAGCCAATTGCGCACAGCAGCGTCCCACACACCGGCGTGGGTTGAAGTGACCAATTTATTATCATATTTTATTTTCTTATTTATAAAGTTATAAATAAGACAAAAATAAAAACTTACCAGGGAAAAGTTCAGAGACTGTAAGAAAAAAAAAGTGCAACAATAAAAAATGAGTCTTATTGCAAAACAATCACAATCTAAATCAGTATTAGGTATAAAACGTTATTGATTATATAATAAACTCACCGTTCGTTCACAAGTATCAAAATGTACACAATAATGACTGTAAATGCCAACCTTTGGGGCTGAGGATTCTTTCAGGTGTTTTTAATTTAAAAACAAGTCTTAAAATGTATTATTATTTGGTTGAGGATCATCGGATATACAACACTTTGTTTTAATATAAGGGAGTAATTAAAATATGCGATAGCAGATGGTGTGTGTGGGGGGTGTGTGTCAGCCCCGCACCGCCCGCACCGCCCGCACACCGCACCGCCCGCACACCGCACAGCCCCGCACCGCCGCACCGCCCCGCACCGCCGCACAGCCCCGCACCGCCCGCACACCGCACAGCCCCGCACACCGCACAGCCCCGCACCGCCCGCACCGCCCCGCAACCCCAGTGGCTCTCACACAGGAGAGAACCCCAGACTCCACGTGAACAATCCGCCATTGTGTCGCCACCACCAGCGATCACCCACTCTCCCTCCCTCCATCCTCCTCTTCCTCCCTCCCTCCATCCTTCCTCCTCCTCCATCCTTCCTCTTCCCTCCCTCCATCCTCTTCCTCCTCCATCTTCCATCCCTCCCTCCTCCTCCCTCCCTCCTCCTCCCTCCATCCTCCCCTCCTCCTCCCTCCATCCTCCCCTCCTCCTCCCTCCATCCCTCCCTCTCCTCCTCCATCCACCACCTGGTGCTAAAGCGGCGTTACTATCGCTCCTCAACCCCCGCCCCTCCCCCTCTCTCCCCCTCTCTCACCCCTCCCTCCCTCCCCTCTCCCCCCCCCCCCCCCCAGGAGGGGACCCTGACTCCAGGGCAGAGCACTGACACTGGTTTGTAAACACCAACTAACTAACTAATGACTAACTAACCACGTGGAGCTGTGTAACATATTACAGTTAAACCCTCTCACTCCGCTTTCAAACCTTCTGAACACCTACTTTCCATATCTCCGGGAAGGACAGTGACATTCACGTCAGAGGTCATCACCAGGTGCTGCACAGTCAGGGATTTGAACCCAAGCTATAGGGGTTGGGATCAGGGAGGGTACGAGGGTGAGAGAAGGCGTGGTTGAAGAGGAGGGTTTTGAGATGCGCCATGAAGGAGGCGGGTGAGGGTTCAAGGCGAAGGGACTGGGGATGGAGTTCCAAAGGGTGGCGGGCGGCAGAACGCCCAACCATGGAGGGTGGAGCAGGCCACAGCTTGTGGAGTGGAGGGAGCGGACAGGTTGAATTGGTGATGCCAATGGGTTTCGATGTGTGATCACGGTGATTGTTGCGTGTTGTGTGTCAGACACCCACCCGCTAGGCTGGCTGATCAGTGACGGGTTTCTGCGTGTCACTCCCCCCCCCCCCCCAACACACACACACACATACAGACCATGGTGTGAAAGTCTCAGGACACAGGTTTGATTCACACCCTATCATCAGCCTCAGCACCCTGAGCGAGGATTGAGAAACACATGAACCAATATCTCCGCAGCCCCTCACTGCCCACCCTGGTAGGGATGAGAGACCTGGATGGGGTTTGGCTAAGGTGATCTCAGTGATTCACTGGACACTAGCGAGACTTGCCCACAAGGAATGTTTGCCTGGGCTACATTCCGGAGTCTGTCACGACAGGAGGAGCAGAAAATTGGCCAATAGACACAAGATATTGTCGCAAAGTGATGAGAGAGAAGACCCCAGGAACAAAAGGCAACAAACAAACATGCGCAGATTTTCCCCACGTTACTGGAGCAGAAGAATGAAAGCAAATTTTAAGGAGGACATCTGACCATTTTCAGGGTGGTTTAATGAGAACATATATGAAGGTGGTGGGTGGGCAGGGTGGGGCTGCTTCATATGCACAGCAAAAAGAGCTTGACAGGTAGTTAAGGAATTATTTAATCTGTTCAGCACCTTAATAATCCTTGCATTTTGATATAGTGCTTTTCACATCTTCTATACGTCTCAAAGCGCTTCACAGAATATACTGCAAAGTGAATTGACTGTATATTTTGTGGGTGAAACGCGGCAGCCAATTTGCACACAACAGCGTCCCACAAACAGTTGTGGATTGAAAATGACCAATTTTTTTTTGAGGGATTATTATCAGGCGTGTGGAGTAAGGAAACTTGCCCAAGGTTTCATCCTGCTGAGAATTGAATCCAAGTCTCTCGCTTGCAAAGTGAGTGCTCTAACCATTGAGCTGCAGGACTCCATGAACCCTGGTGAGGATAGGCTTGGAATACATACAGATGGCAATAATTTGGCATGAGACTGTGGGTGCCGCGTGGAGACTTTCTGTCCGAGGAGGAAGGCAGTTCCGTGTAGGACTAATCTTACACCCTTCAATCACTTACAAACAGAGCCAGATCCGACCACTGGGTGAGCGACCCAACCAGCCATCTTTAGACGACCTCCCGATGTGAAAAGGCGGTATCCAAATGTAATTTGTTGCTGTCTGTTGTAACCCGAACACTTGTTGATGGATTGATTAGCAGCTTTAAAATCATAACAATTCTATTTTTCAGCCAACAATCCCCCCCACCCCCGCATTGATCTCACACATTCTCCTCCTCCTCCTCCGGGAGAGATTTTCACAGCACTGTTGTGCTTGTCACTCATCAGGCACCGAGCTTTGATGTAAACAAAACTGCTTTCTTCCGTATTAGAGGTGAGCATGACCTGTACATCACCCCCCAAACAAACCTCACCATTACACCAGGGGCACAAATGTCAAGGCAGCACGAACCCCTCATATCCTCCACTGCCAAGGTTTGAAACCTCAATAGAGGAGGAGCTACAGGAGGAGGAACTATGGAGAGGAGGAGCTGTGGAAGACTATGGAGGAGGGGCTATGGAGGAGAGGAGGGGCTATGGGGAAGGGGGTTATGGCAGAGAGCTATAGAGAGGAGGCAGAGAGGAGGAGCTTTCAAGGAGAGGAAGAGCTGTACGAAGGTGAACTTTGAGCACTGATGACCTGCACCAACAAGGCTGGGAGCAATGGTTAACCCAGGCCAGAGCAGCCTCACCCAGCGAGCACCCAGTGCAGAGCCAGGCCCCAGGTCAGCCCAGTCCCAGGCCAGCCTCTAGCCCCAGTGCAAGTCAGCCCCAACCCCACCCCAGAACCCAACCCCTATCCCAGAGCAAAAGAACTCTCAGTGCAACCCTACCAGATGCAATTTCCCCTCATCCTGGCCAAATCTTCATGTATCCTCATTTCCTCCCTCCCCTCGCCACCCCACCTCACTCTCACACACACAACATGTTAGGAACTAGAGTACTTTGTTAATGCTGATTGTTATATATAATAATACTTGCATTTGATACAGTGCCTTATCACGCCTTTGAGACATATCAAAGTATTTCACAGGATATACTGCAAAGTGAATTGGCTGTATATATTTTGTGGGCAAAACCTGGCAGCCAATTGCGCCCAGCAGCATCCCACAAACTGACGTGGATTGAGTGACCAATTTTTTTTGAAGGTATTATTACCCCCGGAAAAGTGATATGCCAATCGATGAACAACCGGGTTTCTACTTACTACTAGGTAAGTAGAGGCAAGTGGAGTAAGGAAACCTGCCCAATGTTTCACTCTGCCGGGAATTGAATCCAGGTCTCTTGCTTGCGAGGCGTGTGCTCTAACCACTGAGCTACAGGACTTCACAGCTCCATATAACAGCACTTGGCTGTGCCCAGGCCAGCCCTGACTGACGGCCGGCTCAGGAACACCGAGACCCTTCGTCCCTTTGACAGTTGTACAACCTACAGCAATGAAGTCTGGAAACAGTTTGGCTGTTTTGCCACAGTGTATATTCTCTACACTCCCACAGCCAGGCAGAGCAACAACCTTCTCAGTACATGATCTGACATTAGTTAAGCACCTTCACCTTATAAAATCTGGAATATTAATATAAAAGTCCTGCCATCCAGCGCCTCGTCTTAAAACAGTGACCTTTGCTCAGAAGGTTCCACTTGTTTACATTAAACTTAGATTTTATTTTGACGCCTAGTTACCAATACAGTCAGTTCACACCTACACTGATGGCCGGTGGACAAGCGCCCCTTTCTTCAAAAGTCACCGTTTTATTAATTTATTGATTTATTAATTTATTCCATCATTTTGACCGGCTGTTTGGAATGGACAATGTACATGAACGTCTGTGCGATGTTAAAGTCAGGGGGAAGCCCTCCGTCTTTGTGGGCCTCCACGTGTTTGATCATAAGGTTCAGGGTGGGGCAGTACTTGTGGCAGACAGTGCAGCAGTACATGAGGGCGCCCGAGTGTGTCTTTAGGTGGTTTTTGACGGTGGAGCGACCCCGGAAGAACTTGTGGCACAGTTTACACTCGTACGGTTTCTCCCCCGAGTGGATCCGCAGGTGATACTGGAACTCGCTGGAGTGGGAGAAGCGCTTCCGGCAAAACTCACACTCGTACCAATTCCCTTTGGCGCTGGCCTTGCCGTGATTGACCTGCAGCAGCTCGTGGTGAAGCCCGGGCAGGTGGCAGTCACTGGTGGACTCCTGTGAAGGCGACATTATTAGAGTCTTTTTCAGCCACTGGTGCTGCTGCCCCCCCCCGCCCCCCAGGAGGTCTTTCACCCCCTCCGCGTGGTGCTTCTTGTGGATCTTCATGTGGTTCTGGAACGAAGCCTCCAAGCGGAACTTTCTGCTGCAGAAATTACACTCAAACAAGTAGGACTCCAAGCCCTGGTGTGAGGACATGTGCTGCTCCAGCAACCCTTGGTCCACAAAGCTGTCCCCGCACACAGAGCAGGAGAAGATGGAGATGTTCATGTGGGACAACACGTGCCACATCAAGCTGCACACTGAGCGGGAGGGCTGCTCGCACACACAGCACGACAGGCTTTTCATGTCCAGGTGAGAGAGCACGTGTTCCTTCACAGCCAGGAACTCCCTCGCTGTGGCTTTCCCGCACACGGCACAAAACAGCTCCGTGGGCGAGGCTCCGAAGCTGGCCTCGGCTGGGAGGATGGTGTTGGGTTGGATGATGATGTTGGTGTCGTAGGGTTTGGCTTTCCTGTGTCCCGCCACCTGCCACTGGGTCACGAACTTCATCTCGCACATGTCACAGGCGAAGAGGAAGATGCCGACGTGAGAGAGCACATGGGTGATGCGGGAGCTCCTGTCGGTGAACTTGCCTCCGCACACTCGGCACACGCCGGCCTTCATGTCGATGTGTAGTTTGCCGTGCTGCCGGATCAGCCCCATGTTGGCCGGTAACAGCTTGCCACACACCTGGCAGGGTAGCGCTTTGCTCTCGCCCTCACCCTCCCCATCCTTCACACAGACCAGATCCTCGTCCTCGCTGTCATCCGTCAGCTCAATTACCTCCCCCGAGCGGCTCTCCTGCTGCTCCTCAAACTGCAGCGTCTCGTGGTCCATGCCCTCAAACGGCAGGCACTCCATCTCCTTCGCCGCCTGAGCCTGCAGATCAGCGCTGTTACTCACACACGGACTCCCACTCTCCTTCAGACCCTCCCCAGGCAGCAGGAGGCTGGTCTGATTATAATACCCATTGCTTTGTATCTCGTACAGTTCACAAGGTCCTTTGCTTGTGGGTAGAGCGATACTCTCTGTCGAGGTGGCCTGGCTGTATTCCATCTCCAAGTTGTCCTCCTCTGTTTTGGTGGGTTGTTGGTACATCACGGACAGGCTGGGGCCGTTCTCGGAGCCCACACTCCTATCCTCGCTCTTGTAGCTGTCTCCGACCTCCACCTGCATGATGTAGCCTCGGTTCTCACACAGCTGCGAGCCAGAGTTCCTGGAGTCCGGTCCGGCAGGGTTCTGCTCCTCGGAGGCTCCATATCCCCTGCCCAGGCCCTGTGGGTGCCGGCTGCTCTCTGTCTTCTCCAGGTCAGGGAATGTGGAGTAACAGGCCTTGAGGAGGTCCTGCATTCCTAGCTTTTCAGCCACCTCGTAGATCACACCCACATTGATCAGGTCAGTGAACAGCTCTGCCGTGTAAATGAAGTTTAGGATTCGCTCAAAGTTTGCCGGAGTGATGAAATCCACCACATATGTCCTTGTCGTGTTGACCTCTGAGTGCAGGAAGAGCTTCTGGAAGTAGCCAGCGGCACACGCCAGCACAGACTTGTGAGCTGAAAACGTCCGGTTCCCGACCACAATAATGACATCGCACATGGTTTCAGAGAGACGGAACTTGTTCAGTTCCTTGAGCAGATTGTTGGGATGGTCTGCGCTGTGCAGTTTGATTCTCATACCCATGCTTTCTGCTCGTCCTTTGAGAGATCTGTGACTCAAACCGGCAAACTAACACCCTCAGCCTTACACCTTTCCATGGACACACACTCCCAATTGAGAGCAAAGGTGGGGGGGGAAACCTGAAAACGAGGATAAACAGATCAGAAACAATCCAGAAGATTCCCAATCAAACAAATTCACCATATTCTCCTGTTCATCTCGAGTCAGACTCCAGAGTCAGGCTGTAACATCATTGGGCAGCAGGAAGGGTAACTATAACAATAATCCTTGTATTTGGTACAGTATTTTATCACATTTTTGAGACATCTCAAAAGCACTTCACAGGATATACTGTAAAGTGTGTTGACTGTGTATTTTGTGGGCAAATGTGGCAGCCAATTTGCACACAGAGACATCCCATAAACAACTATGGAATGAGTGACTAGTTTTGTTGGGGGATTGTCGGACACGACACCAGGAAAAAANTCCAAATGTACACTAACACAAAGCAGTGTAGCTTTACCAATATAATATAAACATGCAATTTACGTACACACAACCACCAGCAGGCAACAATCTCTGTTTGCCTAGAAGTGTGCAAAGTTCCGCCTGAGCTCCAAGTAGCAGAACCATATTTACAGAATCAGATTAGTGAGGAAAGATGTGAATGTTACAGAGATGAATCTGGCAGCAACATTTTACAAAGAACCAGGAGATGAGAAGCCTTTGCATTTGGACAAACAAGGAAGCCACGATAACACCGGCTATCGAGGACATTTATTTACTGGCTTTAACACTGCGTTTTCCATTAAATAACGGTATTGTAAGTCAAACAAGTCCAGCACAGCAGCTTTCATTCAAAATAAAAATAATAACCCTTGCATTTCTTATAGCGCCTTATCACATCGTTGAGACGTCTCAAAACGCTTCACAGAATATACTGTAATATTTGAAATACTAATTATAAAGCCGTGATGATGAACCGGACGCTGAAGTAAATGTATAGGTAAATCTAGCTGCGCCTTCCCACAAGATGCAGATCAGAGCTGTTTAAGTGGATACAGTATCTGGTGAAGAAGCACAGTTCTATTCAGTGCTGTTCAGTTATTTACTGTAGTCTTAGTTTGGGACTTGGAACTCATATAGTCCAGGCTGACGCTCCAGCGCATCACTGGGAGTAGAGAACATTGTCGGAGACGCCGTCCTTCAGACAAGACATTAAACCTCACTCCGCTTCCATGCCTTCTTCAGAGCGGATGTTAAAGATCTCCCACGGCACTGTCGGTGGGAGGGGGGGGAGGTGGAGAAAGAGCTGGGAGTTTCTCTCCCTCTCCCCCAGTGTCCTGGCTCACAAAACACACAGTCACTACACTTAACAGTAACTGTAAGTCCAGGGAGGCGTTCTGAGATGTCTTGGACAACTACAAAGATCCACAGTGTCAGTATATAAACTCCAGGATTGAGGGACAAATGAGAGGATATAAAAAAGGAAAGGGCAGCCATAGCATCATTTTGGGTAGAATTAATAGATGGTAACAGAGGTAGACTATTATTTGGGGTTTGCTATAGATCACCAGGCCAGGGTGATGATATTAATAATAATAATCGCATTTGATACAGCACCTTATCAAGTCTTCGAGACGCTTCAAAGCGCTTCACAGAATATACTGTAAAGTTAATTGACAATATTTTTGTGGTAAAACATGGCAGCCAGTTGCGTACAGCAGCATCCCACAAACAGTTGGTCATGGATTATTATTTATTTATTGAAGGGATTATTATCCCCGGAAAGCGATCTGCCAATCGACTAACAACCGGGTTCCTGTTAAACGCCGGGTAAACAATAAGCAGTGTGTGTGGAGTAAGGAAACTTGCCCAACATTTTGTTTCGTCCCATCTGGGAATCGAACCCAGGTCCTCACGCTTGCGCTCTAACCACTGAGCTACGGGATAACAATAATCCTTCCATATGATATAGCGCCTCATTACGTCTTCAAGACCTCTCAAAATGCTTCACACATATACACACACATACATCTACATATACAGACATACATGCACACACTAACATATACACACACATATGTACATGCACTCACATACACACTCACATGTACATGCACTCACATACACACATGTACATGCACTCACATACACACTCACATGTACATGCACTCACATACACACATGTACATGCACTCACATACACACATACACATGTACATGCACTCACATACACACACACATGTACATGCACTCACATACACACATACACATGTACATGCACTCACATACACACACACGTGTACATGCACTCACATACACACACACACATGTACATGCACTCACATACACACATACACATGTACATGCACTCACATACACACACACACATGTACATGCACTCACATACACACATACACATGTACATGCACTCACATACACACACTCACATGTACATGCACTCACATACACACACATGTGTACACAAGCCACGGGGCCCCAACCATAGTATTTGGAGATTATGATTATTATCGGTGATGATGATGGAGGTTCAGGGGTTGTGGCCCCAAAGTACCCGCAAAAATACAAAGGTTGTTGAAGCGCACACACGGGGCCGACGAGAAGCGCTTCCCCCCCCCCAGAGGGTGTGTGAGAGCCGCTGCCCGGGGCCTAGGCCGAGGCTGGGGGCCGCTCCCGGGAACAAAGGCCGAGGCCTCGGACTCCTTGTCGCCCTCAGGCCCCGGCTTCACTCCCTCCCGCCCCGGCCTCGCCGTCCAGGGGCCGCCGCCGCCGGGCCTCTCTCTCCCCCCACCCCGGCCGCTTCCCCCCGCAGCCCGAGCGCCGCTCACCCGCAGTTGAGGAGCTCCCTCCCGGCTTCACTGGGCCCTTAGCAACCGGCGCCCGCCCGCCCGCCCGCCAGCCCGCCACACACTGCACCCGCCGCCGACAGCGCCCCCTCCCGGCCGGAGGGCTGGCGGCCGCCACTGGAGCTGCCCCTCTGCACCCCCCGTGTGTGCGTGTATCCCCCCCCGTGTGTGTGTGTGTGTGTGTGTGTATCTCCCCCCCCCCCGTGTGTATGTGTGTGTGTATCCCCCCCCGTGTGTGTGTGTGTGTATCCCCCCCCGTGTGTGTGTGTATCTCCCCCCCCCCGTGTGTGTGTGTGTGTGAGATCTCCCCCCCCCCTGTGTGTGTGTGTGTGTATCTCCCCCCCCCCGTGTGTGTGTGTATCTCCCCCCCTGTGTGTGTATCTCCCCCCCCTGTGTGTTCTCCCCCCCGTGTGTGTATCTCCCCCCCCGTGTGTGTATCTCCCCCCCCCGTGTGTGTGTATCTCCCCCCCCCCCGTGTGTGTATCTCCCCCCCCCCGTGTGTGTATCTCCCCCCCCTGTGTGTGTATCTCCCCCCCCCGTGTGTGTGTATCTCCCCCCCCCCCTGTGTGTGTATCTCCCCCCCCCCCCGTGTGTGGTATCTCCCCCCCCCCCGTGTGTGTGTATCTCCCCCCCCCTGTGTGTGTATCTCCCCCCCCCCGTGTGTGTATCTCCCCCCCCGTGTGTGTATCTCCCCCCCCCCGTGTGTGTGTATCTCCCCCCCCCTTGTGTGTGTATCTCCCCCCCCCCCGTGTGTGTATCTCCCCCCCCCGTGTGTGTGTATCTCCCCCCCCCCGTGTGTGTGTATCTCCCCCCCCGTGTGTGTATCTCCCCCCCCCCGTGTGTGTGTATCTCCCCCCCCATGTGTGTGTATCTCCCCCCCCCTGTGTGTGTATCTCCCCCCCCGTGTGTGTATCTCCCCCCCCCCCGTGTGTGTGTATCTCCCCCCCCCCCCCGTGTGTGTGTGTATCTCCCCCCCCCCCCTCTCCGCGCCCCCCATCCATCACCATCCTTCCTTTTCACTCTTTAAATGCTCCAATAAGCAGTCACTGGGGGTGGGGGCTCCTCCCGCTCAGCTCCTGGTGACCCTACAGCCAAAGCCCTGAGGTTCAGGGAGGGTGGTCCGAGCTGGACAGGCAGCGACACCAATGGCAAACTGTGTGGTTTCAGCTGATTAGACTCCAGCAGTTACCCCAACGCAACAACGACAAATTACATCTGTTTAGCACATTTCAGGTCAGGAAGTTATCCCACAAGGCAGAGCCCCAAACCTTGGCTCCTGACAACCTGCGCCTAATACTTTCCAGAATTAGGTAAGCAGGTTACGTCACATTAGGGAGAGAGAGAGAGCGCATTCCATTCCAACAATCTATCTCTGGGATTTCCATGAGTAGTTGGGAAGCAGAGAATTCTCAGCTTGGTTTGGATGCTCTTAGCCACGGTGATGACAGACACCGGGCTGCCCCCCAAAATGAAAGGCTCTGAGACTCTACCTCTGTGACGTGTGCTCTATAAATGGAAGTTGTTGTTGTCGTTGCTTCACTCACTGTCAGCCGGCATCCTTGCCCTCTCGTTCTTCATTCCAAAGATGCCCCAAAGCAGCACAGCGCCCAGGGAGTCATCCAGTCACTGTCTCGAGTCCACATTGGTCCGACACAGCAGATTCCGCACCAAGTAAATCCTGTCAAAAAATTCCGCAAATTAGACTCCTCCGTGGGGTGACGTGATGTGATAAATGACATGATGCAAGACATTGCACCTCTCACCTGTCATGAAACATAAAAGCACAAAACACTGATCTCAAGTGTTGTTGTCGCACAGAGAGGAGACACTTTGCTTTACTACGTTGGGAGTTAGTCGCAGGTGTAGAGAATTGTCCTTCTTGTCCATTCAGGGATCCAGACTCTCTCACCCACAAAATCAGACACTCCAGGGGGTGAATCATCCTTGCATTTGGTTATAGTGCCTTTCATGTTGGGAGCATGTCCCAAAGTGCTTCACAAGATCTACTGTAAAGTGCAGTGACTGTGTGTTTTGTGGACCAATGCCTTCCCTAGTGCAGTGTTTCTTAAATGTGGCCACAGCAGCTTCCCCCCCACCCCCCCAACCATAGGAGATGTGAAGCTGCTTTTGGTCAGGTTTAGTATCATTACACTAAATACAGCGCTAGTCCTACAAACTGGAAGAGGTTTGTTCGTGTAATTACTCTTAACTGCTCAGCCAATTACTACTGCACAGACAATTCTAACCCCTAATTATAATAATATTTTTTATACACATCTCAAATAGATTCCATTCATTGCATGGCTCTCGTAACTACGGTCTATGCAAACTTTGGTGAAAAAACGGTTTTCTCAAATGTGGTTTGTCAAATGAACAGAAATAAATGAAAACCATTTGAGATTTGCAAATGTCTATATTTCCTTTATTTTTCATATGATTAACCGCGGATTTTTATTAGTAAAATCTAGCCCTGCAGCCATCAGTGGGCACACAACTTGAGGCCACAAAAAATGTGTCCGAGATTCACTGCCCCAAAGATTCCTTGATCATGAAATTCTTTTTCAGAACAGAGGCAACGCAAAAATTTAAACATTTATTTAATTGAACTTTACAGATCTGTACAAAGTGTAAACTCCTTTCTACAAGAAATATTTGAAAAGCACACGGAGTATCGTATTGCCACGGGGAAAAAAACAATCTTCGAGAAAAGTTACACATAGAAAGAACACTTTCAAAACTCAATAAATTTACACCCAGAGTGCGAGACACTTTGTTTTTCTGTAATTGTTGAGACAGTAAAACAGATGATTGTAGACAAGTCACAGGAACAAACATAGGCTGTTGGCAAATCGACCCAATGTACTGGAGCCTTTAAGGATTGGAGCAAATGGTATTCAAAAGGCAATACTTTTAGACTAACTCGTGATATAGTACCTCGTCTCGTCATGATTCATTAAAAAAAATTCTGTCACCTAATTTATTTGTTGATTGATTCACCTTGTAAATTGTTTTTAATTTCTCAACCCTCCTTGAAACCTTTCTCCCGTAAAACGGTGACTTCTGTAGATCTTAGACTGGGGAAAGGGGAAAAGGGGACCATGGGATGGGGGAAGAGAGAGAGGGAGTGGGGAAGAAGGGGGGTGGGTGGGAAGAGTGATGTTAGCAGACTCTGGGTCAGCTGTAGCTTGCCATTAATGCCATATGTGGTTGGGTTGCTGAAGGCAGGGTTGTCCTGTCTGACTGGAATCTCATCGTACCGGGGTAGCCACTTGGCTTAGCGCACAGAGGAAGTCTGGGAGATAATGAGGCTGTACCTAACGCTGATCACTAAACATAGTGATTTGATTATGATAATGGGAAATCCCCTTCATCTTAAAATGGAAAATTCCATTCTGCACAAAGACATAGCAAATAGATCCCTAATGTTCACGACCAACACAAGATAAACACCACCGACTGTGGAAGTTGGGGGTCGCTGAATGGTACATTGCATTCACGCTCCCTTTGTAAACATCAAGACACGATAGTGATACATTACAAAATCTTACCACTTTGTGGACTTCAGATACATTTAAAGGTTTTATTTTAAAAAAAAGTTAATTTACCAAAAGTCAGAAGTTTTCCTTTTGCTACATATTAATCAGAGAGGTTCACATCTCTGATCTTGTGATGCACATTAAGAACAAACTGTACATCCTGGTCTTCAATAGTTTCATTTGATTTACATGAAGTTGATAATAATGCCCATTTCTCTGTTGAGAAATCAAGTTACAAACTGATTTGTTGGTAAAATGGAAGCATTTGGGAAATCAGCCCATTTACAGACGCCAGGTTCAACTTGATCCCAGTTCACATTTGAAGGAAAATATTGTCCTCTCTGCTCTCTGACGTCTAAGGAGAAAAATTCAATTTCTCAGTCTGGAAAAGCACAGAGCTGGAAAAGCTCAATTTCTGTAACTGTGCTGAACAGAGGCTTTCAGATGTGCTCTGAGGCGCTATCCTATGTGAAGATGCTCTATGAATATTGTTGCTGTTGAGAACAGGAAGAGTGAGGAGGGGGGAAGGAGGAATGGGGCAATATTCAACCAGGTACAACAGAGCAACATCCCATTTCCAGCTAAGTGTGGGGTATTGATTTTGTAACCAGACCTCCCCGACTCCCACTTATCACTTGAGTGGAAATTAAAAAAAAGCCCCCGCCCCACTCCTTCCCCCCCGCCCCCCCCCACCGTTGCTCCCCCTCCCCCCTGCCCCCCTCCGCCCGCCCCCCCCACCCGTTAATTACAGTTCACTTGATTTCAGCTGTTGATGAATCAAGACCTTGAACAAGTTTCTACAAATACAGAATTACAATAAAAACATCTGAAAATTTAATTAATTTGAACAGGATCAACCAACGATTCACAAAAGATGCTGCAGCATGTTTTTAAAAAGAGAATAAACTAACTTTTGAGCACAATAATATTCGGCAAACACAAGGAAGCAATGGAAGCTAATCACAAGAATCAAATCCAATAATAAGTCAAAACTATGTAAAAAAAAACCTCTTCATGGGAAACATTTACAGTGAGGAACATTTCACCTGTTTTAATTTAAAGTTTAAAGGATTTTTTTGTGGGTTTTAAAAAATACCTGAAACAGATTCGCTTTTATATCATTTTTTTTTAAAAAAAGAGAAAAAAAATCGTGCCTTTCTCCGTCCCCAAAACAAGGCAAAAAACATATTCAGAGAGAACACGACTTCCGAGGAAATAAAAGCTGGTCTCCAAAATGATTTCAAGGGGAGAGGAAAGTAACCGTGTGGAGGAGTGAGTGAGAGACAGAACAGAACGTAGGGGATGTGAATTGGTTGCCAAGATGAGTCTTCTGTTAAACCATAGTCTATGATGGTTGAGCACTCTGGGAGGTTACCCTGCGTGAGGGGCACTACATAAGTGCAAGTTGTTGTCATCGTTGGTTCGTCTAACTCTGATTGCTGTGCATAAGGTGTTTGGACAGATCAGCACTTTGTGCAGAAGTCTAGAGATCCCCTCTCTCACTGATGGATGTTACACTGTTTCTCTCTGTGAAGTTTCTGGTCAGAGTTTTCTCCAACTGTCTACAGTGGATACGCTAACCATCCCGGCCGCCATTCAGTTCAAATTAAATTGTTTCCCGTCTCCACAAGTCAACAGAAATTGGGCTGTTGTTTATTTGCGCTGGAGCTGCAAAGCCCCCACCCGCACCCCAGCCACCCGCGCCCTACACACACCAGAGGCTGGAGGCACTCATGGCACTGTACCTCCCTCAGCAAACAGACATCCATGTCCTCAGGAGAGGGGACGGGAGAAAAACATGGGCTGTTCATAATGTCGCACGACAATGATCTGCTTGATAATCCTGCGCTGCTCTTGCTGCTGCAGTGACTGTAGGGAAGGGAAGCTCCTGCCAGAGAACCTGACCCGATGGGAAGAGCGCGGTTGTTTGATTGTTTAGACACTTTCCCTCTGTCAATCTCGCCGTCCCTACAATCTGCTGCTGCCTGTGGGGGGGGGGGGCTATATAAATGCAAGTTGTAGCGCTGACACGCAGTGTGTGTACATGAGTCTTGTTCTCACACTCACAACACATAGTGCATCTCACACACACACACAGTGCATCTCACACACACACACAGTGCATCTCACACGCACACACACACACAGTGCATCTCACACACACACACAGTGCATCTCACACACACACACACACACAGTGCATCTCACACGCACACACACACACAGTGCATCTCACACACACACACAGTGCATCTCACACACACACAGTGCATCTCACACACACACACAAACACACAGTGCATCTCACACACACACCACACACAGTACAGTGTCTCTCTCTCTCTCACACACAAACAGTGTGTCACACACACAGATACACATGGCTGTTGATTCTCACACACACGGCTGGATGCTATGAGGTTCCTCCTACACGTGGACAGTCAGTTCTGCGTGAAGAATGAGTCTTTTTCGGTTGTCACAAAATAAGAAAGAAATGATAATTCCACCCCTCCCTCTGCCCAGCTCCCCCCGAGGGGATCTGAGCAGCAAAGATTCTCGCAAATACTGAAAATATTCAACATCAGGAACGCACAGAAAGAACACATCTCCCTTTACAAATGTCAATACAAAGTGCACAAAGTCAGAGAAACGCTGTACGCAAAAGAACATTCAGTACCTCGGAGATCCGACATCGAAACTGTTAGAAAATAAGCCTCTCGACAACAATGATGTCAAATATAAAATACTCTAAACGGGAAGATCAGTCGTTTACTACAGAAAGAAACCCCCCTAATGTTAATCTGCTGGTCTGACTGAGCGCACTCCCCCACCCACACCCCCACCCAGTGTGGTCCTGTCACCTTGTGGTCTGAATCAATGGGGACCGTCCAGAAAAGGTGATGGTGACGGGGTGGTTTGCTGTGACAACAGCTCAGGGCACCTCCTGCTCATAAAGGTTCTGGACCAGTCGGGACCCACCATCGTGTGTCAACTTGCCGTGGATCTCTGTGACACATCTCCCTGGTGAGGGGAGGACACGGAGCCATGGCCACTTCACAGCGGGAACCGAGCGTCTGACCTCCCGAAGCTGGTGCTGCTGTTTTTCCTGCGGAGGTTGGGGGTGACGCTCACGGTATAGGCCTCATTGGGGCAGCCGTGCTGTAACAGGACATCCACGCACTCCTGGCTGCCCGCCCGCCTGGCGTAGAACATCGCCGTGTTTCCGTGTAGATCTCTGGCCTTCACTTCGATGCCGTACTGCAGGGCACAGCAAACCCGGAATCAAAATCTTTCCCAACTCCATGAAACGTCTCCGCAGTTCGTTATTACAATTAACATTTGTAAGTTATACCCCTTATCCCTTGCCCTCCCACTCACAGGAACGTGGGAACAGAAGGAGGCCATTCAGCCTCTCAAGCCTGTTCCGCCATTCTATTAGATCATGGCTGACCTCAACTCCAATTACCCGCCCTTATCTCTTGATACCCTGACCTAACAAATATCTATCCACCTCAGTCTATCCATTCACTCTCTGTTTTTCACTGACCCCACAGGCTGAATGGCCTCTGTGGGGTCAGTGAATAACAGTAAACAGTCAATACAGAGCGTAGAAAAGAGCAAAATTCCAGCTAGTCTCAGCCTGTGGGACAGTTTTGCATTAAACACGAAGATCACACAGAACTGTGAAGAATTGGACAGGTATCGGGGAATACGGGTTTGTGGGGTTATGGGGAGAAAGCTGGTGATTGGGGTTAGTGAAAGTGATGCTCTGTCAAAGAGCCGCACAGACTCGATGGGCCGAATGGCCTCCTTCTGTGCCGTAACATTCTATGAATCTATGAATTCTTCAATCCAGTCTTAATCCGTTTTTTAAGCCATTGCAGGAGAACACGGCCTCTAAATTAAGACTGAAATTTTCCACAAATAAACTCCCTGGAGTTTAGAAGGTCGAGGAGGTTGATCTGATTGGAGGCGTTTAATATAATCAAGGGATTTGATAGGGTGATTACAGCTAAACTATTTCCTCTGGTGGGAGAATCCAGAACAAGGGGACATCAACAACAACAAATGACAATTACACAGCGCCTTTCACGTTAGGAGGATGTCCGAAGGCGCTGGACAGTCAGGGATTTGGACCCGAGCTGGTGGTTGGGATCAGGAGGGGGTGGAGGGTGGGGAGGGTAGGTGTAGGAGGGTGACCGTAGGTGCGGTCGAAAAGGAGGGTCTTGAGATGGGTCTTGAAGGAGGCGAGGGAGGGGGCGAGGTGAAGGGAGTGTGGGATGGAGTTTCAGAAGGTGGGGACAGAAAGGCTGAAGGCCACCTGCCAATAGTGGGACAGACAAGGTCGGTGACATGAAGCAGGCCGGAGCCTGCTGAGCGGAGGGAGCAGGCAGGTTGGTAGAGGTTATGAGGTTACAGCATCATCTTAAAATTAGGGCTAGGGGCCAATTGGGGTGAAATCAGGGGCAGTTTTTCACCCAAAGGGCAGTGGGAATCTGGAACTCTCTCCCTCCCCCAAAAGGCTGTGGATTATGGCTGGATCCAGTCACATTTTCAAGACTGAAGTGGAGATGTTTGTCATGTCAGGGGATCAGGGATACGGGGCAAAGGCGGGTAATTGGAGTTGAGGTACATATCAGCCATGATCTAATAGAATGATGGAACAGGCTCAAGGGGCTGAATGGCCTCCTCCTGTTACTGTGTTCCAATATGTTCCAGTTCTGATCCAGCTTTACATCAGGGACCAAGTGGTGTACCATGCGCTGGGCCGGGGAGAAGATACCTACCCAGACAAGCAGCTGAGTGATCACCACGTCCTTCAGCTCGCAGGCGAGGTGTAGCGCTGTGCATTGCTCCTTCTCCTCTGAGTACTCGTTGATTTGCTCCTTCTTGAGGTGAGCCAGCAGCAGCAACACGCTGTGAAGATCTCTCTCCAGCACCGCTCGGAACAGCTGCTTTCCCAGTGGAGCCTCTCGCAACTTCAGGGGAGACACAAACAGCTTCTGCTCGTATTTAGCTCGGATCCAGTTCTCCCTTTCTTCCCTAGAAACCAGGTCAGCAACAAAAATCACTACAATAATAATAAACTGGTCACTTCGACCCACAGCTGTTTGTGGGACGCCGCTGTGCGCAATTGGCTGCTGCGTTTCGCCCACAAATATACAGTCACTTCACTTTACAGTGTAGCCTGTGAAGCGCTTTGAGACGTCTAGAAGACATGATAAGGCAAACGCAAGGATTATTATTATTATTATTACTACAAGGAGCAATGAACAGAGTAATAATTCCAGTCCACATTATTACTCCTCAATACTGGTTGTAGCTGAGAGGGAAGGTGACGAGCACTTGCCTGGTGGAATCTGGGCTGGGTTTGGTGCGGCCCCCAGTGTTCCTCTCCCACACCGTGTTGGCCATCTCGTTCCCAATGGACGTCAACACCAGGGTCAGCTCCAAGGGCCAGTCATCGAGATCCAGCGACCGCACACGGGACACGTGAGATCCCAGGTTACGATGAATCCCCGAGCACTCAATGCAGATCAGAGCTCCCAGGTTCAGGCTGGCCCAGGTGGGATCTGCACAGAGAGGTATGATTGCGGAGAGATAAGAGCAGAGGATTGTAAAATAACACAATGACAGAACATTCACACACCACGAGGTCAAGGGAATCACGTGACAACCGTTCACTCAGCACAGCCTAACAACCATCTCGGCTCCCGGCAAACTTTGGAAAAAATATATAGATTCTTACTCCGAGCAGCACAGTCAACACAGAAGGCATTTCCTCTGGCGTTCCTGATAGCCTGAAGAGCAACAGCTTCACTCTGGCTGTCCAGCCTCGCCTGCAAAATACAAATACATCATTATCATAATAATAATCCTTGCATTTGATACAGCGTCTGATCACATCTTCAAGACGTCTCAAAGCGCTTCAATAATATACTGTAAAGTGAATTGACTGTATATTTGTGGGCGAAACACGGCAGCCAATTGCGCACAGCAGCGTCCCACAAACAGTCGTAGATTGAAGTGGCCAAATTATTATTATTATTATTTTTAATAATAAGGAATTATTCGCCCCGGAAAGCGATCCACCAATCAACTAACAGCCGGGTTCCTCCTTACTGCTGATAAACAGAGGCGAGGGGAGTAAGGAAACTTGCCAAACTTTTCGCCCTGACCTGGGAATCAAACCCAGATCCCTCTCACTTCTGAGGCGAGTGTCTAACCCTGAGCTACAGGACTCCACATTGCACCATGGGTCACTTATTATACGCAATCCATCGTTCCCTTACACAAGGGACAGAGTAATTTACACCCTCAATTACAGTAACTAATACAACAACAACAAAATTGCATTTATAGAGCACCTTTCACGTCGCAAGGACATCCTAAAGCGCTGGACAGTTGGGTCGGGACCCGAGCATTGGGGGGAAATGGTCAGGGTGAGGGGAGGGAAGGGAGCGAGCGAAGAGGGGGTAGAGAGTCGAGAGTGGAGCTGAAGGCACGGTTGAGGAGAAAGGTTTTGAGACCGGTCTTGAAGGAGGAAAGGGAGGAAGCGGCGAAGGCACTGGGGATGGAGTTCCAGAGCCTCGGGGCTGAGAGGCTAATAGTAACAGTTTGGGCACGAAGATTGTGGGGAGATAAAACTGATCCTGGGCACTAGAGTGAGTGAAAATCTTATAATACCTTGTTCTTGCTACTTTCACAGGACTGCAGACTGGCCAGGATCTGACTCTCGATAGCCTGGACCCAAGCGTCTCTCTCTTCAAAATTCACCGCAGCAAAATACCACATCTGTCCTGTACTGGAGATGATAGTGAACTCAAAGTTCTCCTCTTGCTCTAGAGGTCGGGAAGAAAGAGATGATATCTCAGCACGATGGAGATCCTAGTGAGGTCACTGATACCCACACCCAGTGCTGGACACGGGTGAAAAGACATTGGCTTTGTTTCCAACAATGGCTGATGGTTTGCCAAGTAACTACATGTCCATGTGGAACAGTTACAATCAGCCCCGCAAACAGGCGCATGTTACATCATGTCCTAATAAAACCAGAGAGACAATGTCCCACATTCAGGTCCTGAAGAATATGGAATAAATAATTGACCGAATAGTTTATTGAAAGCCATAAATATTGTGTGCCCCATCACTGCCGTCGCAGTGTTAAACCTGCTGCATGTTTTACACTGAAACTCTTGTGAAGGTTTCTCATCCGGGCGCCCGGCGGAGGGAGTGTGTGGTGTGTGTGGATTCTGTCCTGTTTGTATGATGTAAGTGACAAAATTCCCCTGCATTTGCAAACAATAGGTCCAGCATACAATAAATATATCAGGTTCCCTCCCTCCTCCGTTCTCCCCACTCCCCCCCATGCAGACACATAGCTGTAAGAGTAATCCCAGCACAGGTTACCGTGACATAGATAATTCATTGCTGAGGATTCAACTCACAGAAAGCAAAAGGGACACAACACAGAGGAACGGACACAGACACTCACTCCAAAGACCACAACAGCGAAGAAAGATTCCGGCCGCTGGACACGGCTCGAAGAATTCCATTTACCTGCTCTGTAAATATTTCTTAAACTACCAAAGCGTTTTAATTTCCACACCCTGCGCTTGGCTGCACCCAGGGTCCCGAAAAGCAGGAAAGGAATTGGAGACAAGGTTTACTGAGAAGCACAACGATGGCAGAGAGAGAGAGAGAGAGAGAAAGGCCCAATCCCCAGCACTAAGCCACCCATTAAAATGGCACATAAATGAAGAGGGAAATTGCAGCAGATCTGACAAACAGAATCCCCTCGAACACACCGAGAAAACCGAGCACACACCAAACACCCCGAGCACACACCAAACACCCCGAGCACACACCAAACACCCCGAGCACACACCAAACACCCCGAGCACACACCGAGCACACACCAAACACACCGAGCACACCACCAAACACACCGAGCACACACCAAACACCCCGAGCACACACCAAACACCCCGAGCACACACCAAACACCCCGAGCACACACCAAACACCCCGAGCACACACCAAACACACCGAGCACACACCAAACACACCGAGCACACACCAAACACCCCGAGCACACACCAAACACACCGAGCACACACCAAACACACCGAGCACACACCAAACACACCGAGCACACACCAAACACCCCGAGCACACACCAAACACTCCGAGCACACCGAGCACACACCAAACACCCGAGCACACACCAAACACCGAGCACACACCAAACACACCCGAGCACCACACCAAAACACACCGAGCACACACCAAACACCCGAGCACACACCAAACACCCCGAGCACACACCAAACACCACCGAGCACACACCAAACACACCGAGCACACACCAAACACACCCACCCGAGCACACACCAAACACACCGAGCACACACCAAACACACCGAGCACACACCAAACACACCGAGCACACACCACCCAAACAACACACCGAGCACACACCAAACACACCGAGCACACACCAAACACACCGAGCAAACACCAAACACACCGAGCACACACCAAACACACCGAGCACACACCAAACATACCGAGCACACACCAAACACACCGGAGCACACACCAAACACTCCGAGCACACCGAGCACACACCAAACACATCGAGTACACACCAAACACACCAAACCACCCGAGCACACACCAAAACACCCGAGCACACACCGAGCACACACAACACACCGAGCACACACCAAACACACCGAGCACACACCAAACACACCGAGCACACACCAAACACACCGAGCACACACCAAACACTCCGAGCACACCGAGCACACCCAGCAAACACACCGAGCACACACCAAAACCCACAAACACCCCGAGCACACACCAAACACACCGAGCACACACCAAACACACCGAGCACACACCAAACACACCGAGCACACACCAAACATACCGAGCACACCACACACCGAGCAACACCAAACACACCGAGCACACACCAAACACTCCGAGCACACACCAAACACCCACACACCAAACACACCGAGCACACACACCAAACACACACACACCAAACACACCGACCACACACCAAACACACCGAGCACACACCAAACCACACAGACACACACTCCGAGCAACCAACACACCGAGCACACACCAAACACACCGAGTACACACCAAAACACCGACACAAACAAACACCCGAGCACACACCGAGACACACCCAAACACACCGAGCACACACCAAACACACCGAGCACACACCAAACACACCGGCCGAGCACACACCAAACACACCGAGCACACACCAAACACACCGAGCACACACCAAACACACCGAGCACACACCAAACACACCGAGCACACACCAAACACACCAAGCACACACCAAACACACCGAGCACACACCAAACACACCGAGCACACACCAAACACACCGAGCACACACCAAACACACCGAGCACACACCAAACACACCGAGCACACACCAAACATACCGAGCACACACCAAACACACCGAGCACACACCGAGCACACCGAGCACACACCAAACACACCGAGCACACACCAAACACATCGAGTACACACCAAACACACCAAACACCCCGAGCACACACCAAACACCCCGAGCACACACCGAGCACACACCAAACACACCAAACACACCGAGACACACCAAACACACCAAACACCCGAGCACACACCAAACACCCCGAGCACACACCGAGCACACACCAAACACACCAAACACACCGAGGACACACCAACACACCAAAACACCCGAGCACACACCAAACACACCAAACTCACCGAGCACACACCAAACACACCAAACACACCGAGCACACACCGAGCACACACCAAACACACCGAGCACACACCAAACACACCGAGCACACACCAAACACACCGAGCACACACCAAACACACCGAGCACACACCAAACACACCGAGTACACACCAAACACACCGAGAACACACCGAGCACACACCAAACACACCAAACACACCGAGCACACACCAAACACACCGAGCACACACCAAACACACCGAGCACACACCAAACACACCGAGCACACACCAAACACACCAAACACACCAAACACACCAAACACACCGAGCACACACCAGAGCACACCAAACACACCAAACACACCGAGCACACACCAAACACACCGAGCACACACCAAACACACCGAGCACACACCAAACACACCGAGCACACACCAAACACACCGAGCACACACCGAGCACACACCAAACACACCGAGCACACCGAGCACACCGAGCACACAACCAAACACCCGAGCACACACCAAACACTCCGAGCACACACCAAACACTCCGAGCACACCGAGCACACACCAAACACATCGAGTACACACCAAACACACCAAACACCCCGAGCACACACCAAACACACCGAGCACACACCAAACACACCAAACACACCGAGGACACACCAAACACACCAAACACCCCGAGCACACACCAAACACCCCGAGCACACACCGAGCACACACCAAACACACCGAGCACACACCAAACACACCAAACACACCGAGCACACACCAAACACACCGAGCACACACCAAACACACCGAGCACACACCAAACACACCGAGCACACACCAAACACACCGAGCACACACCAAACACACCGAGCACACACCAAACACACCGAGCACACACCAAACACACCGAGTACACACCAAACACACCGAGAACACACCGAGCACACACCAAACACACCAAACACACCGAGCACACACCAAACACACCGAGCACACACCAAACACACCGAGCACACACCAAACACACCGAGCACACACCAAACACACCGAGCACACACCAAACACACCGAGCACACACCAAACACACCGAGCACACACCAAACACACCGAGTACACACCAAACACACCGAGCACACACCAAACACACCAAACACACCGAGTACACACCAAACACACCAAACACCCCGAGAACACCGAACACGGAACACACCGAGAACACGGAACACACCGAGAACACGGAACACACTGAGAACAATGAACACACCGAGAACACACAGAGAACACGGAACACACCGAGAACACGGAATACACCGAGAACAACGAACACACCGAGAAAACTGAACACACCGAGAACACTGAACACACCAAGAACACATCGAGAACACGGAACACACCAAGAACACGGAACACACCGAGAACACGGAACACACCGAGAACACGGAACACATCGAGAACACGGAAGACACCGAACACAGCGAGAACACCGAACACAGCGAGAACACCGAACACAGCGAGAACACCGCGAGAACACGGAACACAGCGAGAACACGGAACACAGCGAGAACACGGAACACAGCGAGAACACGGAACACAGCGAGAACACGGAACACAGCGAGAACACGGAACACAGCGAGAACACGGAACACAGCGAGAACACGGAACACAGCGAGAACACGGAACACCAAACACACCGAGCACACACCAAACACACCGAGCACACACCAAACACACCGAGCACACACCAAACACACCGAGCACACACCAAACATACCGAGCACACACCAAACACACCGAGCACACACCGAGCACACCGAGCACACACCAAACACACCGAGCACACACCAAACACATCGAGTACACACCAAACACACCAAACACCCCGAGCACACACCAAACACCCCGAGCACACACCGAGCACACACCAAACACACCAAACACACCGAGGACACACCAAACACACCAAACACCCCGAGCACACACCAAACACACCAAACACACCGAGCACACACCAAACACACCGAGCACACACCAAACACCGAGTACACACCAAACACACCGAGAACACACCGAGCACACACCAAACACACCAAACACACCGAGCACACACCAAACACACCGAGCACACACCAAACACACCGAGCACACACCAAACACACCGAGCACACACCAAACACACCGAGCACACACCAAACACACCGAGCACACACCAAACACACCGAGCACACACCAAACACACCGAGCACACACCAAAAACACCGAGCACACACCAAACACACCAGAAACACAGAGTACACACCAAACACACCAAACACCCCGAGAACACCGAACACGGAACACACCGAGAACACGGAACACACCGAGAACACGGAACACACTGAGAACAATGAACACACCGAGAACACACAGAGAACACGGAACACACCGAGAACACGGAATACACCGAGAACAACGAACACACCGAGAAAACTGAACACACCGAGAACACTGAACACACCAAGAACACATCGAGAACACGGAACACACCAAGAACACGGAACACACCGAGAACACGGAACACACCGAGAACACGGAACACATCGAGAACACGGAAGACACCGAACACAGCGAGAACACCGAACACAGCGAGAACACCGAACACAGCGAGAACACCGCGAGAACACGGAACACAGCGAGAACACGGAACACACCGAGAACACGGAACACATCGAGAACACGGAAGACACCGAACACAGCGAGAACACCGAACACAGCGAGAACACCGAGAACACGGAACACAGCGAGAACACGGAACACAGCGAGAACACGGAACACAGCGAGAACACGGAACACAGCGAGAACACGGAACACAGCGAGAACACGGAACACAGCGAGAACACGGAACACAGCGAGAACACGGAACACAGCGAGAACACGGAACACAGCGAGAACACGGAACACAGCGAGAACACGGAACACAGCGAGAACACGGAACACAGCGAGAACACGGAACACAGCGAGAACACGGAACACAGCGAGAACACGGAACACAGCGAGAACACCGAACACAGCGAGAACACCGAACACACCGAGGACACCGAGGACACCGAGAACACCGAGGACACCGAGAACACACTGTGAACACACTGTAAACACTGAGAACACACTGAGAACGCACGAGAACACACTGAGAATACACTGAGAACACACTGAGAATACACTGAGAACACATCGAGAATACACAGAGAACACATTGAGAATACACCGAGAACACAGAGCACACTGAGAACAGAGCACACCAAACACACCGAGAACACACTGAGAACACACTGAGAACACACCGAGAACACACTGAGAATACACCGAGAACACACTGAGAACGCACCGAGAACACACTGAGAATACACCGAGAACACACTGAGAATACACTGAGAACACAGAGCACACTGAGAACATACAGAATACACCGAGAACACACTGAGAACAGAGCACACCGAAAACACACCGAGAATACACTGAGAACACACTGAGAATACACCGAGAGCACACAGAGCACACCGAGAGCACACCGAGAGCACACCGGACACACACCGCGCACACAGCCATGGCTGGGTCTGAGCAGTAGCTAATTGCCTGCCCTATTAGAGGCAAGAATTAGAGTTTTACACTTCACTGTTCAACCTTCCACAGTGATGACCCACTGTGAGGAACGTTCTCACTAATCGCAAACTCTCCAACAGATGGCATTCCCAGTCTGTCCCTGAACTCTGACGGGTTTGGTTACAAATTGCAGTTAGCTTTCACACTCGCTCGGTTACCCAAAAGAGTTAGCAGCCACAGTGAGGTGACTTGCACCTCTCCAGAGAACGTTCTCACTGTGCCCATCGAGCCTTCACTCAGACCCTCTTTCCTGCCTTTGGTATTATTATTTGCCAACCTACAGTGCCGGGTCCCAGTGAGCTGGGAGGGAGGGTTACCTTCAGCCGACTGTGCTCAATCCGCATTTACTGCATACCAGGCCATTACATCCGCCGGAGTGATTAGCTCGGGATCAGG